CCATGCTGTCCCGACACTGTATGAGAGCTTAGCTGCTGTTTCTCAGGCTCAGTCTTTAGAGTTCAGATAAGAAACAAAAAAGGCTCTATTAAAGAAAGAAGGTTAAGACGACAAATACTAAAAAAGCATTTCTCAGCATTTCTTACTCTTTGGCTTGCTTGGTTGAGGAAAATATTCTGCAATCCACTTCTCCCTTTATCACTGCCTTGAGGAATCCTCATCAGAACCAGTGGGAAGCCTATTGCTGAGAAACCACTGGGGACTATGATGACACTCACGTGATGGAGGACTCATCTGGACGCATGGTCATGCCAGTACCACAAGGGGGTAGGGTCCATGTGCCATCTGTAGGGCCTTCAGCACTCATACTTCTGAACCCCTAACTTACAAGATCAAGCCAGCTGAGGGACCTGCTTTTAGCTCATTTAAAACCTGTTTCATCCAAGATATGTTTAAAAAAAAAAAAGAGTTGACAAGTTGAACGTCCCTTTTTAATACAGTGAAAATTACCTGATCTCTCAAAAAACACATTCCTATGTATCCTGACTCTTAGTTAGAATCAGAATGCAGGTGCAGTATATTGGTCTACATTGGGCTCACGTAGTCCTATCCATAACAAGTGACTGCCACAGAGCTGAAGGCCAGAAGCATGTTCTTTATAGGTCTGAAATCAATTACTGTATAACTACCGCAGGCTAAATATTATGATAGGCAGTAGGGTTACAAAACTGACCACAGCCCAGCCCTTACTTTTAAAAGGAGTAAGTGCTCTTCTACCAGGGAACAGATGCTGATGTATTAAGTGCTAACTGCTGTATGTACTAAGTGCTCTGAAGGGCAGTCTGAGGCAGAGTAGTGGGACAGCTCAGTCAAAAAGACTACTGACGTAAAGCAAACTGAGTGTTAATGATGCCAGAAACGGATGGCCAAGGGGAACCAGAAAGCCTCAATGTCACTGCTTAATTTTATACTATATCATATCAAGTCTAAAATTTAAATGAAAATATTTTAGATACTAAGATAAGCAAATGTGAGTCAAAAGGAAAGAATGAGACATCTATTAGATGGTTTATTACTAACAGTTATTGGAGAAGTGATGCCTTTCACTGTAAAGATCTTTCCCATCAACTCCTCTAGGAAGCTGTTCCTGGTAGATTTAGGTTATCTTTTAACTCAATTCTGTTCTGTTACAACCACATTTATGTGTCTGCTAGTGATCATGCTTTCCTCCTGCCAGCTGGTTTTCTAATTTTTCTGTTTCTAGAAACTTATAAACAGAAGAAAATCTGATAAAAATAACTTGATATCATGTGACGTGTTGACACATTAAAGGAATTGTTGTTCCTTAACCAAAATCATATTTCTATTCTTCAATATTTCTCTAATAGAAAACAAAGTTTATGGGCCGGCCCGGTGGCGCACTGGATAGTGCGCCGCTTGGGAAGCGCGGCGGCGCTCCCGTCCGAGGGTTCGGATCCCACATACAGACCGGCTCCCGCTCACTGGCTGAGCGAGGCGCGGGAGCAACACCGAGGCTTGCGATCCCGTTGCCGGTCCCCGGTCCGGTACGGGGGCAACACTGAGGGTTGCGATCCGTTGCCGGACACGGAAAAAAGACAAAAGACAAAAAAAAAAAAAAAAAAACAAAGTTTATGTGCAATGCCTGAATGTCTTAATTTCATAGACTATTTATTTTTATTGAAATATAGTTGTACACCTCTGTGAGGGAGTGTTGAGCTCAAATCAGGATATTTTTAGGAATGTACATACATTATCTCTACTTTTCATTTATAGAACGATAAGTTATCCTATAAATAAGAAAGCCATCTAAACATATTCTGATCCAAAAATGTGGTTTATCACAAAATTTCAGGTAGTTTAAAGAAAAGCAATTAAGAGTTATGAAAAGGAAGACAAAGATGGGAAAACATATAGTCCGTCTTCCTTAGAAAACAACTTTTCAAATCAAATGTAATCATTCTAATAAATGCTGAATGACAATTATGGAGACCACAGGGATCTTCATGTGCTATTTAAAAATTAAGAAAATAGGAAAGCTGTCTTTTTAAAGAGTACATATTTTATTTTTAATTTATCAATATACAGTGTAGTTGATTTTCCTATCCTTTTACCAATTCCTCTTTAAAGCTGCATTTTAAGACAGAAAAATTAGACAATATTTCACAGTGAAAGTTAGATAAAAGATTTTAGAAACTTTTAGAATTGTTCACTTAAAAAACGAATTCAGTGGTTCTGAATTACCTATGTAATTATAGGTTGGCTTTACCTGTGAAAACGAAATACAATATTAAGTATTAGCACATAACCAGCAATTACATAAAGTAGTACAGCAAAGGAAGATGCCTTTCTTGATGTCAAAATGACTAAGAAAGGTAAACCTAAATTACACAGCATTGAAAGGGAGCCCACCATTTTTCCCTTTCATTTAAATCAACAGTCAAAAAGAGAAATGTTGGGAGTTATAGGACAAGACAAATGAGCAATCATAACAAGACACAAGAATCTTTTAAAATATAATACAAGTGGAAAACCTAGCTCCTCTTAAAAAGTTTAGAACACTTAGTTAAAAGGGCACTATTGATAGGAAATAAGGGCTGGTAAGTTAACCTGAAAACAGCAGTTACTGTGATGGCTTTAAAACACGCCTACAAATTCTTTGAAATCCTCTTTCCCTTCAAATGATGGCCAGACTTAGTGCCTCGCTTCTAATGAAAAGAATGGTGGAAGTGATACTGTGTGGCTTCCCCAACTAGGTCACAGAGAGGACACAACTTCTGCCTGGTGCATGCACTCTCTCTCAGGGTGCTCCTCCTTAGAACCCAGCTACCATGTTGTGAGGAAGCCCAGTCCACATGGTGAGGCAATGTGTGAGTGCTGCTGCCAAGAATCCCTAACAGACCCCCAGGTGACAACAGCATCAGCAGCCAGTCATATGAAGGATAAGCCTGCAGATGTTTCCAGCACCTGACCTTCGAATCTTCCAGCTGAGTCCCCAGACATTGTGGATCAGAGACAAACTGTCCCTGCTCTGCACTCTCTAAATTTCTGACCCACAGAAACTGTCTGAGATAACAAAAGATTACTGCTGTTTTAAGCCACTAAGTTCTCAGATAATCTGTTTTGCAGTAATAGATAAAGCAGTATGGGTACCTAGAATGTACATGCACAAAATATGAAAGGATTGTTTTTTTCAAACTGGAAAAATAACCTTTATACAAACCAATTATAGACTATCCTCCATTTGATAAGTTTAGAAGATTTTATTTACATAATACAATTAAACATCATTAATTTGAACTTTTCTAATTTGAAATCTGAGACAATTTAGACTAAATTTTAGACCGTTTGGCTGGATATCATTAAAGTAGCTCTGGAAAGAGTTTAGATAATCTATGCAAGAATACAAGAATACTGAAGCTAATTCAGAGAATAAATTGCTACCAGGTACTTTAAAAGCATAGCATGCGGGAACATTTACTCTATTTTATGGAAAGATATGTTGCCCAATTCTAGAATTGTAATAAAGCCAACTGAGATCATTTAAAAAAATATATAGCACTCTCCACATAAAAAGCATTCTAGAGTTATTAAGAGTCAACTGAACACTAGACACCTCAAGTTCTTCCTAATCACTTTTTACATATTAATTAGTTTAAAATTCTATTTGGCAAATTGGTCAGTTCAGGGAAAATATTTGTGCATACATATGTTTTATCTTTTCCTAATAAAAGGTGAGCTCCCTGAGGGCACTCCTTGACTTGTTCACTTTGGCATCCTCCAGCAGGCATAATAATGCTGTATGAACTTGAGGAATATTTATACAAATTATCAAAATGCAGTGATGTACTTGAAAGCTAACTCACTTGTCATAATTCTTTTTTTTTTTAACAAATTTGTTCTGCTTCTCACCATTAGTCCAAATAAGTTGATGTTTTATATTTCTAAAGCACATACTGTGCACCTCTTTATTATGTTTCATGAATTCGTTGATAGTAAAGATAAGGATACAAATGTCATCCACACATAACAGGTAACGGGTGGTGCTGAGAACATTCCTTCTTTGGGACATCTCACCCTGAAGCTCCGTCCTTGCGTGAGAGGACGGCGCCCCCTGGGGTTGTGTAGTACAGCAGCCTGCTCATTCCCTTCTCTGGTTTAGGACAGAGAAGCCTAATGGAAGCCTAATTCATAAGATTTCCATTCTGTTACAGGCAGAGATTTATAAATCTGCATTACTTTAGAAAGATTACAAAGAGAGACCATTCTGCTTAGAACAGAAATGAAAAAAGACATCTAATTTTACTTTATTCCTCTAGTTTGGTCAGAAGAGATCAAACTTCTCTGCCAGTGTTCAGACTTACACTTCTCACTGAATCAAAATTTTGAAATTTTTTTTATAAGGCTTAGTGTTCAGACTTACACTTCTCACATAAAGGCTTGCTTCTTTGAAATCAAGCAGTTCACCAATATTTCTGCCCATACTTACTCCCATGTAATTTCTGCTAAAAATAAGATATTCATAATTTCTTCAGTTTCAGTCTGAGATTTTTTTTCAGTCAGAACATGTGACTTGTAGTGACAAGACGCGGGTTCTGGTGCACTTTCTAATTAGTTGTCTGGCCCTAGATAAGCCATTTTAGCTCTCTGTCCTCTCTACATCAAACAAGGATAATAATATCTTTTGTTGTTGTTGTTAACCTACCTTCTAGGTAAACAGACATAAGATTATGTGAAAACATTTTGCTAAAGTTGCTAAAGAAACATAAGGTAAAATATGTAAGGTTTTATCATATTAACTATTTTCTAATATTTGATTGACATTTTTATAACTAACCAAAATAAAAATTGCATACTTTCAGAACTACAAAATTTAATAGTTCTACAAAATGAACTACAATAGTAAAGCTAGTCATAATAATAAATTCATTCACCCATGTTCTCATTTAATTATATTATGAAATAATAATTATAAAAATAGGTAAAATTTTGAAAATATTCCTATTTATTCTAGCTTAGGAGTTCTTGCTCATATCGATGGATTGTCTGGCATCGGCCACTGTCTCAGGCACTCGAACAGTCCTATTGTCCATAGATTTTTTCAAACAGATTTGGCAGCCCAACCGTGATCTGCACAAAAAAGAGGTGAGGTATGGTTTAGTATTAAGTATATATTATTCATAATTAATTGATATTGTTTCCAGTTGGATTAAAAAATGATTACATTGTTTTAAATAAATCCACTATATAAGAAAAAAAAAGTACATATTATTCACAAGGCAATGGAGTTGTTTAGGATATTTTTATATTTTATTACCCAAAGCAGTTAAGGAATTTATTAACCTTTAACATCTCCATTAGGTCAAAACAGATACAAGCAACCCTATCAACTAGAGGTAGCAGAAGGTAAATATGAAGAACAGTAACCCTCATGTACCAAAGCTTCATTTCAGCCTTTAGTTTCTATCATCTACTAGTTGTTTCACCAGAACTATGACTTTTTGGTGAAAGAGCTGACAAGCAGTAAGATCATCAGAAGGCACAATGGTGAGGAAGAGAACTGAGGTTATTAGCAAGGCCAAGAAAATGATTAATCAATTCCCAGAAAATTAAAGCCACACAGACAATAGAAGAAACCTACATTTTAAAAAGCCTTTAGAACAAGAGATTTGGAATAAATACATAGATTTAAGTCATCAATTATAAAAGCATATTTTTTCCCCACATTTTTAACATCTATGAAATCAAGACCCATCTTAACATCAATTGCATCCTGTAATCACTACTACATTGGGAGGTGACAGTCATGTAACAACTGCAAATTTTGGCTACGATATTCACCCAGGTGTCTCTTCATCTGAGTTATGGGAAGTATGTTAATAACACATGTGTTAAATTTAATCACCTTTCAAATAAGTCCAAAAAGATTGCAAAACAAAAATTAAGAAGAATTCAGATACACAGCAGGGGGTAAATTTGATATTAGTAAATATTCATCATTGGAAAAATGACTATAATTCCTTTTCCCTCCTTTGTCCTTTGCAGAATTACTACCAATTTTATTTATATTTTCCATTTTTAACAATGATAGATAATACAAATCTATATCTAGGTAAGTACATAATTCTTTTAATATACACAAAGTATGTTAAGTGAAAAAATAACATTGTACCATATTTTAATTATCAGTACTCTTTTCTTAGTGGCACAAAAATAAATGTGAATCATACAATCAAACTGTCTTCAATTTGATGAAATGCGACATGCAGGTCTTGGTTTCATTAATGTTTTCATCTAGCATTGATTGAGCACCTAAAGGCACAGCACTAAATGTCAGTGAATATACAAAGAGGAGCAACTAAACTCAATGCTTTCTTATTGAACATCTCTTATGTGCTGGGCACTGGGGGTGCCACATGGAGATGGCATAGAGGTTAGAGCCAAACAGACCAGGGGTCCAGGATCCAGCACTTCCTGCAGCATGCTCACAGGCAACTGTCTTAACCTCACCGAACTTCAGTCGCCTAACCTAATCCTCAAGATGGGTAAGAGAGTTCCTCACTGGACTGTTGCAAGGAGTAGTTGCTGAAGTCAGCGTTATGGAGTGAACTTTCAATCAAATAGAGGAGATGAGACACATTTGCACATGATGAACATGTGAGCTTGTGACAGAGAGAGAAAGCCAAATGGCTCTGAGAGGTCTGAGAAGAAAGCACTTACTTCTGGCCAGGAGAGACGGTGTCTAGTATGGGTTTTGAAGAACTGGCAGGATTTAACATTTAGTAAGGGATAAAGGAAAAAAGCATCTGAGGCAAAAGCAATGGAATGCAGGGAAGTTCAAGGCAGGTATGAAGCAAGATAGATGTCGTGGCTTGGTGGCAGCACAGCATAACTAACACAGGACAGGGGGAGTGATGGGCTAGAAAGTGGACCAGGGCCACAGACAGCAATGAAAAGTAATTAGAGAGTTTATGTTGTAATGTGGTGAGCAATGAGGAACCACTGGGAAGCTGTGGAGTAAGGGAACACGCTTAACCATGGGAAATACTGATTGCTGACAGAAAAAAAATCCTCTTCTATCAATAGTTCTCATTTGCAGAATTAGAAACAGCCTCGACAATACTCAATTATGCTTTAACCTCTGTCTGTAAGAGAGAAAATGTGTCAAGCCAATTTGGACAAATTCATTAGGACTGTGGTGAGCCCTGGAGAGATAGCTGGTTACTCTTGGTGCTCATATAAAGATAAGGAAGATAATGCTAGCCTTCAAGGAGCTGTTAACCTAGAAAGGGAAACGGGTGGAAACAGTTATCAATTGAACAGGGCAGAATACAGAAAGTGTAGTGACAGAGAAGTATGTTGTGGGAAGAGAGAGAGAGGCAGCACTGGGAGCTCTCGCTAGCTCTAGAAGATAAGGCGGCAGCACTCTGTGGCTGTTTTCTCGCTCCCCTACTTCCTCTACCTCCTCAGAGGCCTCTGGCTCTAAGATCTACCCAATACAGACAGTGTCTTACACCTCTAGAGGGACAGCAGACAGCAAGTCTTCCCTATTTCATACTACCAGTTTCATAAAATTCTGACATTTGTCCAAACCTGGGAGCTGTTCTCTCCAGTCACTCTCGCCATTATGTCCTTGACAATGAAAATATACTAGGTGTGGCATTTACTTTACTCCTAAGGTTTGGTTTTCAATTCAGAGAAACAGCTTGAAATAGTAAATGACCAAGGGCTTTGGGGCCCAGCATAACTGGATTCAAATCAGTGCTCTGTCACCCCATAGCTGTGAGGACTTGAGCAAATCTGTGATAACTAAATCTAGTTTTCTCAGCTATAAAATGGTAATACTGCCTAAACTTGAAGGTTAGAAATAATACTTGTCAAGTGCTAAGGCATTACAGTAAGTAGCAAACATGTAAGTTGATATGATTATAGTCATAATGCTAACAACTACCGTTTAATGAATGCTTTCTCCACCAGGCATTGTTCTAAGAGCTTCACACATAGTCATTAACTCCACACAGCAACCTATGAGTAGGTGCTATTATTACCCTCATCTTACAGATAAGGAATTGGAGGCCTCTGTGTAGATTAACAACAGAAACTGGTGGCAGAGAGCAATGACAATCATCAAATGTAGATTCATAGATAATTCCTGATCTCCTTTCTGATCAACTACTAATTCCACAAATAGTCGGGGACCCCCTATTATGAATCAGGCACTGGAGATACAATAAATGAAATAAGACACGGCCCCTGCTCTAATGGGAAAAAGGAGACAGGCACCCAGTATGAAAACGTCTGTATGATACTGTGTATCATTAATAAGTACACCCCCCAAAAAAACATTAAAATGTTTTGAGTTAAAAATTAAAGACATTTACATAGCTAGCACAACTTTATTTTTTATTTATTTTTTTTTCGTTAAATTTTTATTTTGTCAATATACAATGTATATGATTATTATGGCCCATCACCGACACCTTCCTACCTCCTCCCTCTCTCCCCTCCCCCCCAAGAATGTCCTTTCCGTTTGCTTGTTGTAACAACTTCAAAAAAGTATAGTTGTTATATCTTCTTCCCCACCCCCCCCCCGGGTTTTTTTTGTGTGTGTATGTGGGTGAATTAATTTGTTTATTTTTTAGCTCCCACCAATGAGTGAGAACATGTGG